GCCAACACTCTAACCACTGAACCATGCTGGGCAAGGCAAGCATTAAGGTTTTTTTAATTTTAATTTTAATATACTTTATTGATTTTTTTTTTTACAGAGATGAAGGGAGAGAGATAGCTAGAAACATCTAGGAGAGAGATACATCCATCAGCTGCCTCCTGCACACCCCCTACTGGGGATGTGCCCACAACCAAGGTACATGCCCTTGACTAAAATGGAGCCAGGACCCTTCAGTCCTCAGGCTGATGCTCTATCCACTGAGCCAAACTGGTTTCGGCCAAGCATTAAGTTCTTGACAATAGATAATATATGAAGTGAATTTATAAAAGCTAAAAGTAGTTAAAACTAAATTTATACAGAAATTTAAGTGATTAGAAATAAAAAATATATATTTTGCACAAGTACATTTAATTAGCAAGAGAGTATTGAACCACAGGGTGTAAGTTGTACTGGGAAGAATCAGGGGTTGATGCACTGTCACTCTCTTCAGCTTCTCTCACATTACCAATTTATGTCACATAGCTGGGCTTCTACTGCATCCTACATAGCCCTGTCCCACCTGAACAGGCCAACAATCCCCCACCCAAAGTTCCTGAAACAAAACATCTTTCCAGATTTTAAAATATTTATTAAAAAAAAAAATATATATATATATATATATTTTATTTCAGAGAGACGGAGAGGGAGAAAGAGATAGAAACAACAGTGATAAAAGAGAATCATTGATAGGCTGTCTCCTATACATCCCCTACTGGGAATCAAGCCTTCAATCCTGGCATGTGCCCTGACTGGGACTCAATCCGTGATCTCCTGGTTCATGGGTTGACGCTCAACCATTGACCCACACTGGCCAGACTAAACTTTTTTTATTTTAGGAAGGTGCATTTAAACCCAGCACTCTCGCAGAATATGGGGCAGTAACCTATAATCAAATACATTAGTATTTCTGCAGCAAAATGCAAGGATATTCACATTAAGTGGAATAAAGAAAGGCTATAAATAATCATCAATTTGGATCAGGTTTATGAGTCTGAAAAAACAATGCCTTCTGAGCTTTTAGGAATTTTTAATAGTAGGAAAAGGACTATAGAGCTGTATACTCATATTGCATTCAATCTGCTCACTTCCTCCTTGAGAAATGACAATGGCTTCCTTACTTGCCACATTCAGTTATGACCCTAACTTCTACACTAATCTAGAATTGGCAATCATTTAGTCAATCTCCTTACTTTATTGCTTAGAATAACTTCCTAGGGTCACAGTGTTCCTTTACTGACAGAGATGAAATTAGACCATACAGGTGTCCTGTCTCCCAGGTTTACTTTGAATTGAGAAAGAAAACAATGAATGAATTGTATTTCTCATTCATTCATTGTTTTCTTTCTCAATTTTTTAGCTTTCCAAAATAATGAAATAATTTCACAGAAAATTGCAAAAATAGTATAAGGAAGTCCTGTATCCTTCGTCCAGCTTCTACCAATATATACTGTAGTACAATATTAAAACCAAAATAATAAGAATAATAATAACATAAGTATATTAGTGTTAGCAAAACTACAAAGCTTATTCCATTTTCATTATTTTATTAAACTGCATTTATTTGTATGTGAAAGCATATACAAGTTTATGCAACTTTATCCCATGTACAGATTTATGTAACAGCCATCTCAATCAAGGTATCAAACTAAATATTTCTCTTTTCGGAGTCCAGCACAGCTAGAGCATGATCCAGTTCCTGAGTAGAGGCTGCTGGGGATTGAGCAAATGAAAGAAAGAGACAGACACAGAGATGGAAGGAAAAAACTGGGGCCTGGTGGGACCACTGTCCTCTGAAGGACAGACAGGGACCCAAAGCCAAAATAGGGTGTTTATTTTATACAGCAAAAACCAGGAAGTTTTACTAAAAATCAAGACAAAGGAGATTATGCACATTCTTGGATGGGCCTGAATCATATTCATTCCTGGTGCTTGGCTGGATTTAGATAACGAAACCCACCTCGTGGTGCCTAGGCTGAAGGTCAATCTGACACTTAACTAGATAAACTGGAACTCTCAGAATATACAAATTAATAAGGCTCTTTTTAGCTCTACTGTTTTCACTTTAATGCTTTATTAGAGAGACTACAATATGCATAATGTAATATACAAGTACAACTTCCAACGCTCATACCATCACTTGCATCACATATACATAGGCACACACAGAAACTCATGACTTGATTAGCAAAAATTAAGAAACCTCATAGTTCTAGTGTTGTGAGAACATGGAGTAACCTGAGTTCAGACATTGCTCATGAGAGCGTAAACTGGTACAACCACTCTAGAAAACAATTTGGTATTATCTACTATAGCTGAACATTATCTACTATAGCTGAACATGTATCTGTTCTCTTGAGAAGTACACCAAGAGATATGTGCAAAAATATTCACAGCAGTACTTTCATAAGACCAAAAGCGCAAACAACCCAAAAGCTGACTTAAAAAAAAAAGACTGTGACATATTCACACAATAGGATTTTAGATACCAGTGAAAAAGTAATGAAGTACAGTTAAACACAACATGGATGAATCTTAGAAACGATGCATTAAAAGAGCAAGTCATAACAGATTATATGCAATAAATTACCATGTTAATACATTTCAAAAAGAAGAAAAAGTAAACATGTTATTAGTTATGGAAACATTCATGCAATTTTAAAAAGGAAAAATAAACACAAAGTCCAGTATACATAAGGTCAGGCAGATGGACAGGGGAGTAACTCACCATCAACATGATTGGTAAAGTATAGTTCTTAAATTGAGTAATAAAATCTTTAGTTCTATTATTAAGCTTTATAATATGTGTGTGTCTGTGTGTTGAGTGTCTATCATATAGAATCTCTGGAAAACTAACAATCCAGCTATAGGACAAATTTAGCCCACTCATAAGGTGACATTTTTGGTAACTGGGAATGATGCCAAGAAATAAAATCACTCTACTATTGATATTCGGTAACTTTTGTAGCAACAAAGAAATTACAGTATCTCAAAAAATTAAAGCAAGGACGTGGGCAAGGGAAGTGGAGAAGGCTATAAGAAGGCAAGTGAGGGATCCTTGTAGTGATGGAAATTTCTGCATCTTGACTGTATCAACCTCAGTATTATGCTTATGATATCGTACTGTAGTTGTGCAAGATGTTACCACTGGGAAAATCTGCCTACATGGTACATTGGATCTCTCTGTATTATTTCTTCCAACTGCAAGTGAATCTACAATTATCTCAAAGTAAAAGATTAATTTTTAAAAAGAAAACATAAAAGAGAACATTTTCATCCAGGGTTTCTTCACCTTAGTACTATTGACATGGTGAGGCACATAATCCTTCAATGTTAGGGACTGGCCTGGGCATTGTCGGGTGTTTAACAGCATCTCTGGCCTCCAACCATTAAATGCCAGTAGCATATCCTAGTTGTGACAAGATTTCCATACACTGACAAAAGTTCCCCAGGGGGGCACAACTGTCCCATTACAGGATCACTGCTCTAGTCATAAGAACAAAGAATAGCTGTGGAAGTGTTCCTCAAGATTGAAGGAGACTAAAGAGACATGGCAACTAAATGCAATATCTGATCTTCACTGGATCCTATACTAGAGAAGAAAAGAATGCTTTTATAAAGGACATTATTAGGTCAATTAACAAAATTGGAATACCAATGATAAATTAAATAAAAGCACTGTTCAACATTAAATGTGCCTAAATTGATTACTGTGATATAATTATGTCAATAATATTTCTATGCTTAGGAAATGCACAATGAATTATTTAGGAGTAAAAGACCAGCCTATATAATAAAAGCCTAATATGCAAATTGACCCTTCTCCAGGGAGCTGGCGGGGGAGAGGGCAGGGTTGGCTGGCCAACCACCTGGGGTCCCTCCCTCTGGCTGGATCCCTACCATGCATGAATTTGTGCACTGGGCCTCTAGTGATGTATATAATCTACCATCAAATGATTCAGAAAAAAATATATATGCGTATGTGTATGTATATATATTTTATATATATACATATGAATATTTGTACATGTATCATAGGTGAATCTGATGAAAGGGTATACAAGTGTGCTCACTGTACTATTTTTATTCTTGCAACTTTTCAACATGTTTGAAATCATTTACAAATAAAAAGGTGGTGTGTTGTTGTTTATTAAGTGCAAGCAAAAGTTGTGGTCCTTAAAATCCTAATGGCAGGTTTCACGGAACTCCAGCATAAGTGATAAAAAAAAAAATCCCAAGACTGGATAATGACTATTGACTACATAAATTCTTACTTGAGCCGAGACCGGTTTGGCTCAATGGATAGAGCGTCAGCTTGGGGACTGAAGGGACCCGGGTTCCATTCCGGTCAAGGGCATGTGCCTTGGTTGCGGGCATATCCCCAGTAGGGGGTGTGCAAGAGGCAGCTGATCGATGACTCTCTCTCATCGATGTTTCTAACTGTCTATCTCTCTCCCTTCCTCTCTGTACAAAATCAATAAAATATATTAAAAAAAAAATTCTTACTTGAAGCCTGGGGTATTCTCGGAAAGAACTGTCGTCTACCTTCCGCCTATCTCCCCTTTCCATTCTTTCTGGAGTGACCTCTTGAATAGTGCAGGATCGAAAAGGAATCCATTCCATTTCTTAAAAGACCATTTCTAGCAAATGACTCAGGCTCACATCCCTAACGCACTTCCTCCACTAATCACTGAGGCATCTTCACTCTCCATAATTAAGGAAAAAAACGCAAAACGTGTACACGTATTCCTCAAAGAAAACCACCTATGCGCTCCACTGAGCAGAGAGAGGAGGAACGTTGAAGTGAGTGGACTAGAGAAGAGACCACGTCCAAAGTCCAGGAGGGCTGAGGAAAGGAAGAGTGTAAAGAGATGGGCGGGGAGCCAGTCTTGGTGAAGCACGAACGGTGTGTCGGTCATTAAAACGGACCCGCGAGGGGTGCCCGCGGGGGGCGAGTAGCTCACCTGGCTGTGGTAAGCAGCGGGTGCTGAGTGCCCACCAGCTTCCGCACCTGCATAGCGATGTTGCTGAGCTCGTCGCTCAGGAGGCAGCGGAGGCTCATGAAGGACGTGGGGTAGCCCACGATCTTCTCCGCCTCGGACACCACCTGGTTCCAGTAGGCCGGGGCCTTGGAGGACTGAGCCCGCCAGGAGCCCACCGAGAGGGTGCGGAGGGACGGGGACCACCACAGGCGGCGCGGGGGTCCCGACGCCCGGAGACGGCGGGGCAAGCGCATCAGCAGTGGCGGAAGGCTCATAGTTTTGAGTCTGGGAGTGTCTGGGGCTTCGGACTGCCGGGAGGTAGCGCCGGGAAACTAACCAAGGGGCAGAGGAGGAAGAGGCAGGGACTAGAAGGGATCGGCGACTCCGGGCCCTGAGAGGTGCGTGGGTTCCGGAAGCCGTAACCAGCAGCGATCTGGAAAGGCAGCTTTCTGTAGCCCAATCTGGATTAGGCAATTGCCCTGGCTCAGCACTGCCCCCGGACCGCTGGGGTAGAAACCAAGGCGGAGACCTAAATGGGGGACGCCATATTTGGAGGCGGGGAATGCGGCCTGTCGTAAAGACGGAGGCGGGCTATGCCGGAGCTGAGGCTGCTCCCTACTTTACGGCACTGCCGTGAAAGCCCTTAGGAGGGGGCGTGGCTCCGGAGGTGGAAGCCTCGGCTCCTCCCATCCCCTGGTTCTGGCCCGAGAATGCCGAGGGTGGCGTGAATGCAGGGTCGATGCTGCTCCAGTGCCTGGAGTCTAAGCCGAGTGCGGTCATCGGAGCCTTCCCAGCGCCAGCACACATAAATAGCGGTGTCATGAACGTGGGGTTTTTTTGTTGTTGTTTTTTCGGCCTCCAGCCCGCTCGGAAAGAAGGGCGTCGGCTACTTTCTCGCGGAAAGCCTCCGGCTGGTCTCTCTAGTCGTCTGCCCAGGCGGTGGTCATGGGCCCGGGTGGGGCCACCTCTGCGGCTGCGGGCTCCGGAGCTGTGGCTCCGTGGTAGTGGGGGTACCACGTGCACGCGTGATTCTGGTCTCGTGCCCTCAGCTCCCAAGCAGACGGCGTGGCCCGGCCCAAAGGGTTCTTTTCCCCCCAAGGAATGTCCTCTGTCTTGATCCAAGTCACTGGCCTCGCTGAGGCTGGTTTAACCCCTGTGAGCAGAAGCAGCGATCCCTCCCTTAAGGGTGCGGAGAGTCACCTCTTTATTTTTTATTTATTTTTTAAAATATATTGATTTTTAAAAATATATTTTTTATTGATTTTTTTACAGAAAGGAAGGGAGAGAGATAGCTAGAAAAGTCCGTGAGAGAGAAACATCGACCAGCTGCCTCTTGCACACCCCCTACTGGGGATGTGCCCACAACCAATGTACATGCCCTTGACCGGAATCGCACCCGGGACCTTTCAGTCCGCAGACCGATGCTCTACCACTTAGCCAAACCGGTTTTGGCAAATATATTGATTTTTTTTTTTTTTTTTACAGAGAGGCAGGGAGAGGGATTGAGAGTCAGAAACATTGATCAGACGCCTCCTGCACACACACACCCCACTCCACCACCCCCACTGGGGATGTGCCCACAACCAGGGTACATGCCCTTGACTGGAATCGAACCTGGGACCCTTCAGTTCCAAGGCTGATGCTCTATCCACTGAGCCAAACCGGTTTCAGCAAGGGTCACCTCTTTAGAGCAACTCCCCAACCAGTATTGAAAACCGGACCTCTGACCCAATACTTCATTACAGCTCGTGTATTATCGCATAATCCTCAAAGCAGCCCCGTTAGGTAGGTAGTATTCTCCACGGTTTCTATGAAGAAACAGGCACAGCCATGTCCTATATTAAATTGCCTAAGGCCACACTAAGGGACGTGAACCCAAACAATCTGGTTTCTAAATCCTCGCTCTTAACTATCAAAATAACACATTACCTACCAACCATTCTTTTTTCCTTATTGCTGTCAATGTGGTTATCATTTCTATAATGCTACCTATTCTTTTTCCAGGTATGTCCAGCATCCTCTCTTGTCATCTCCCAAACAAGTGTTAAAACCCTTATGAATAAAAATGATGTATTTTGCAATTTTACACTCTTAAATATAGCTTGCAAAGCTCTCTTCAACTTTTAAAATCTTTTAAAATTTATGATTGATGTGTTTTAAATTAGCATCATACATACTTACTGGACTCGACTTAACAAGGGGCAAATTAAAGAATAATTATTCACTTTGCAAAAAGGTTTAGTTATCCTCAGACTCCCTTTCCTTATGATTTAAAAATTTGATTGTATTGCCAAACATTCAATTTAGACATAACTCCTCAGGGATACATTTTAGATCAAGTGAGTTATGCTCAAAAGTATTAAACACAGTCTGTGCCCAAAAAACAAGTAAGGCAAACTACAGTTCACAAATAATTCACGTGAAAGAGATAAACTCCTGGCAATAAAATGCAGGTCTATTCTAGATGAAAGTAAACGTGAAGAGTGTGTTACCTTACCATTCCAAAAAGCTCCAAGGCCTGAGCTGGGTTATCCAAGGTGAAAGAAGTCATGAAAAAAAAAAAAAAAACAGGACAGATAAAGGCTAAATATGATATATTATGCCCCTGAGGCTGTTTCTTCAGAATCACTGTACCTTAAGGCTAACTTTTCATGCAATTTGCTTAATACCGATTCACAACATGTACTTTAATTTCTCCACAGAAGCCAAGTGCATTATTCTCTGGTCATACTCTATTAACCAAGTTTTTTATTATTCATGGGACTCTAGGTCCCATTTATTTTAAATAATCAGGACTTTCCTTTGTACTTACAGTTAAAAGGTTGCATTATACCTATTGATAACCAGTTTTTAAAGGTTAAAATGGTATTTGTTCTTTAATCTTTCAGATAAATAAATAACTCCTTAGAGTCTCTTTGACTACAGAGATTTCTGAATTGCTGGTTACTTTCAGAGGAGTGGCGAGGAGGAGTATCTGTGATTGTGCCTTTCCTGACTGATGCTGCCTACAGTCACTTCAAAGATGTCTGTGAATGTATGCAGTAAGAAAGAATACAGCAGCCCAGGCCCGGAGCAGCAGCTGCCAGGCTGGGAGCAGCCAGGCCCGGAACAGCTGGGTCTGGTGCGGCCAGGCCCGGAGCAGCAGCTGCAGGCTGGGAGCGGCCAAGTCCGGAGCAGCGGCTGCCAGGCTGGGAGTGGCCAGGCCCAAAGCGGCCAGGCCCGGAGCAGCAGCAGCCAAGTCCAGAGCAACTAGGTAGGGAGCGGCAGTGACCAGACCCAGAGCAGCTGGTTGTGGAACGAACCAGAGCAACAGAGGCCAGGCCCGGAGCAGCCAGGCCCAGAACAGCTCGCTCCTCGCCTGCCCCTGCCCCACAGCTGCCTCTCAGACATGGCTGGAAACTTTTGCGGGAACTTGAGGGTCTGCTGAATCAAGTGATGAAGGCTTAGATCTAGATGTATTGAGTTAGTATAGGGCTGGGGTGTTGATCTGTGAGTGCCTTGGGTGGGGCTTGGATGAGGCTAGTTGACCTATTGGGAAATGTCTTTTGTGTGAAGTGTATCATTGGGCATGTGGAAGTATTATTAATATGAGAAAATGCTAAGTAACTGATTTACTATCTGAAAAGGGATTTACTATCGGGAAAAGGGAGGGAGGAAAAGACTGAACATAAACTGTGCACTTATGGATGAGGACAATGGGGGATGGGGAGGGGGTGGAAGGTGGGGTGGGAACCTGGTGGAGGGGGGAAGAAATGAGGAACCTTTGTAATAATATGAACAATAAAGATTGATAAGAAAGAAAGAAAGAAAGAAAGAAAGAAAGAAAGAAAGAAAGAAAGAAAGAAAGAAAGAAAGAAAGAAAGAAAGAGAATACAGCAGGATTTCTCAGCCTTGGCCATATGGACATTTTGGGCCCGATCATTCTTTGTGGTGGCGGGGAGGGCTGTCCTGTGCATGGTAGGATGTTTAGCGACATCCTGCCTCTTACTCACTGAATGCGAGGATTATCCCTGTCCAACTATGACAACTAGACTTGTTTCAAGACATTGCCAAAATATCCCTTTGGGGCAGAATCGCCTATGAGGATACAGAGAATGGGAGAAGCTGAAGAAAAAAAATAATTTCCACCCATGACATTGACTTTTACAAAGCACCAGAAGAAAAGGCCCGGGATGTGGGCAGCCCTGCAGGTTAGAGACCCCCGGCCAGACACAGGGACATCTGCTTGGCACCGAGTTGTGGTGGAGACAGCAAGCTGACACCTTTCCTCAGGGCCCGGAAGCTGGTAAAGGACCAGTGGACTTTACTTAGTGTTTTCTCTACATTCTGCTGACCTTAGAAAGCAGTAAGGTCATACCTGGTGTCCCTTCCCTACCCCCCTACCCCTTTTTTTTTGGCTGGAAACCTGAACCAGCCTTTGCAAATACAAAGTCTTAACAAGCATGGTGTATGCTTTGGGCTTTGGCATGTACATGATTAGGGGAGTAGAACTAGATAGGAACATGGCAGCTATCCTCCTTCTAGCACTCTTAACACAGTCACCTATTGTTTATGCTAAGAGAGTTCTTCCAAAAGCAGATATACATGGTATATCTTCAGGCCCAATGATAAAAGGAGGCAAGTAATCAGATTAGCAAAAAATCCAAAAGTTTGACCACCTATTGGCTTGGCAGAAGGTAGAGAACAGGAAGAACACATATTGCCAGTGAGAATGTAAAATGGTGCACAGCACCTATGGAAAGGAATTCGATAATCTTTAGAAAAATTACATGTGTATTTACCCCGGACCTAAAAAATCCCCAAGCACGAAATGACTTATGCGCAAGGTTATTCATCACAGTGTTATTTGTAATAGCAAAAGATTGGAAACAAACTAAACAACCCCAAGTAGGGGGCTGGTTGAATTAACTCGGGTAGAGCCATACGATGAAACACCCTGTGCAATTCTGAAAAAGAATGAGGGCTGTCTCTTTAAAATGATGTGGAATAATCTCCAGAATACATGTTTTAAAAACATTCACCAAGGTACAGACACTATAGTATGCTCTTTTTGTAAGGCATGTGAGCTATCCTGCCTATAATAAAAGGCTTATATGCAAACTGTCCCCTCAATCGGGAGTTCAACCAGTGGGCAGGGCTGTCTGGCCAACCTCCCACATCCCCTCCCTCAGCCCATCTGGGACCCTACCCATGCATGAATTCATGCACCAGGCCTCTAGTGAATATATATTTGCATATCTTTGGGATGGAAGAAAATAGGTGAAGTAGACAAGCA